CATAAAAGCAAAGCAAACAACTCCTCTCTTGCGCGATTTACAACGCTCTGCCTAATAACTCCGGCAAAAGAGTAGATTTGCCGCGCATGTATGTATGTTGTAGGCAGATCTCTATCATCTACCTACCCGTACATACTCGGGATCACCCGGTGGTGGTTTGTTTCACAAAGCAAACGGAAACGAAACGCAGAAAATCTCTCGATCTTGTGCTGAGCAAGGCTGTTGCTCATCTCTGTCCTCCCGCGATAAAGTGCCTACATACAGCCTATCTACATATCTATCTAAGTATATATACCTAATATATTTGATTTTATTTTTTTATTTTTTATTTTGCGCGGCTGCCGTGAGAGATGGTATATAAAGGTATTGATCCCGTCATTACGGTACGCGGGATTAGTTACTCCTCTACTCTCGACACGGACACTTCTGAGTTACATATTTTCGGCGGCGGCGGCGGCGGTGATGGGTGGTGGTGATCGCTCGGTGATAGGATGTTTCTCTTCACTTTTCACGTCTTGGCCTGGCCTGGCCCTGGCGGAACCCAAACCCTCGAATGAATAAACAAATACCAATGCCCCCCCGCCGCCCGCCGCCGTTCTGGAAAGATCGATCGCAGCATTCGCCGTGGATCTGGGAATTCCGGAAGCAAAAAAGCAATGGCTGGCGAAGCTAAACCTTCTTTTCCCACACACACATACGTTACATTTTTATTTTTTTTTATTTTTTATTTTTTTTGTTTCTCTCTCTCTCTCAAAAAAAATGACGAGCCTGAAAAAATGTGAGATGAAGTTGCGGCGGGGGTGTTGGTGCCGATACCACCCACCACCACTGCGGTGATGTAACCCAACGAATAGCCCAACCCAACCCCACAAGACAGACAGACAAAGACGGCAGTTCTTCTTTCTGCTTTTTTTTTTGTTTTTTTTGCCTGGACATCGGACGATGGCGAGGGTTGGTGCTTGCTTTTTTTTTGCATGCGGGAGGAACCTTGCTTTTTTGGGGGGGGCAGTGAGAGGGAGCGGAGCGGAGTGAGGGGAGTGATTTTTGGTGACGCAAACAGCTTGCTGGACGTGTGTGGAAAAGTGGGGTTGCGAGGGGCCTGGACCGCGGCCGCCAGCCGGCGATAATGGGTGCGTGCCTTGCAGCTGGATTACTAGCAATTAGCTATGATTGAGGGGGAAATGACGACGAGAACACGTGCTCGTTCCCACGCAGCACCAACTTCGAACAAGCACACAACGTTTTTTTAAAAGCAAAGCATGTCATTATGGTATACCCTTGCCGGAAAACAACAACAACGCTCAGGGGAGAGAGAGACAGAGAGAGCAATGGTAACCTTCGCGCGCTGGAAACACAGTGCACACCTCGCAATGCATACGTCACTTTTCCGCCCCACTCTTACCCTTCAAGTTTGCGTCACACAGCAGTAGCAGCAGCAGCACTGAAGGCGGGCTCGCGGTCCAAAAGAGTTTACTGTTGTGCAATGAGCCAGAGCTCGCCGCAGATAGTAGCAAAAACGTAGTGAAACCCTTGCGTCTCCCGTGCCCTGGAAAAGAGCTCGGAGGCGAGGATAGAATTCAATGTCACAGACCATGCCAAATGTACTGAGAAGAAAGCCGTTTGGCCGACGTGATACTCTGTGATCCATTGATGTGTGACTGGTTCATTGACGAGCTGGCTGCGTCACAAGCGGTGTTCGGAACAGACGGTGGACTCGACATTCCAGTGGCTTAATTCGTCTCACTCGCCTTTGTCACCATCACAACAGCTATAGGATTGCAAAGAATTCGGGGCTTTCCTGCTCAACTACTCAACGGCACCAGATCCAACGCTAAGGGTCTATCTATATCTAGAGTTGCCTTGGTATCTGGTAGTCCCTCTCTACTCAGCATCAGTCGGATCCCAATCTAGAACCAGTCAGCATTTCCCTCTGTCATAATGGATCCAATCAACTCACCAGTAACCAAATGTTCGTCCAGCGCCTCCAGCTCCTCCATATGGCCCTCACTGAGCTCAAAATGCGAAACTTGAGCATTCTCCCTGATGCGTTCCATCGTCACACTTTTTGGCAGCACAACAAAGCCCTTCTGCAAGCCCCACCGCACCAAGACCTGAGCCGGAGTCACATCGCATTCCCTAGCAATCCGCACGATGGTGGGATGCTTCATTCGCATGCCTCTTACCAGCGGCGCATACGCCTCCACCACTATCCCGTGGGCTTGACAGAATTCCGTGATAGCGGATTGGGTATTGAAGGGATGAACTTCGACCTGGTTCACAGTAATGGGCACATCACGTTTTCCGGCGGCGGCGGCGGCGGCGGCAGCAGCGCTATCCTCCATCAACTCCTGCAAATGCCTCACCCCAAAGTTCGACACACCAGCACTGCGCACCTCGCCGTCGCGAACGGCGTCTTGAACCGCGCGCCAGCAGTCCCACCGCTTCGCGCGCCCGCCGTACGGCGAGTGCAGAAGGTACAGATCTATCCACCCCAACCCGCTCTTTCTGATCGACTCCCTGATCGCCGCCCGCGTCGCGCTGTAGCCCGTGTTGCTCCGCAGCTTGGTGGTGAAGAATATGTCCTTCCGCGTCACCGATGCGTTTGAGGCGAGGAACTGCTGGATTCCTAACCCGACGTCCCCTTCGTTGGCGTACCAGGCTGCGGAGTCGATGGCCCTGTAGCCAAGGGAGAGCGCGGTGTGTACGGCGGCGGTGCACGAGGCCCCAGAGGTCATGTATACGCCTAGTTGGATGCGCGGGATGGGGAGCTTATTGGGCATCTGTCTGAGATTAGCGGGTGTTGAAAGGGGGGGGGGAGGAGGGGCAAATGAGGTACAAGTAGAGTGCTGGAGGTGGTGTGAGGGGTTATGGGGGACATTTTGGACATGGTATGAGGGGTTATGGGGGACATTTTGGACATGGTATGAGGGGTTATGGGGGTTATGGGAGACATTTTGGAGGTTTGATGGGACAAGAAGCGGCGGAGGATCATCAGTTTATGAGGTGAGTGAGGTGCGATTAACGTCATGGGATAGTTAAGGCTAACGGGAACGCTCCGCGCGGGAGCAGGGTTCTGTTACGGATGGGGGGTAGCTCCCGTAACAATTCGTATGAAAGCCGGAGCACCTTCAGCCGGGGTGAAAAACCACCAAGCCAGGTCAAAAACAGAGTCGTTAATAACTGATTACTCAGCTTCGGAAGGACTACTTGGGCTTTGCCCTTTTTCTTTGTCGAGTACATTTAGTCTGAGTACCCGGACGTTGGTTTGCAGGAGCGAGTGATGTCGAGCATCACGATAGTCTTCGTGGCCGGAAGTTCGTTTCACCGTTTTCAGCGTCCGGGGTGGTCTGTGCACGGTTAAAAAAAAGTTCTCTTTCGGCACCAGAGGGTTAGGTTTTGAGTGACAGACAGTGACTCGAAGGAAGATATAAGTCTCTAGTAGACAAAAATGTTTCACACCACAACAGTCGATTCAGTAGTGTAGGGGTATCATAGGCGCTTGCCATCACCGCATACTGCGCCTGACCCGGGTTCGAATCCCGGCTGAATCATTGTTTTTTTTTTTTGTTTCATTCCAATGTTTTTTTCCCTGCGAATGCTTCAGCAATCTCTGTCCGTTACGGCGTTCCACGATATCCAACATCCATCTCTGCCGCCAACAAAGTAGTTTACTTCCTGGTGTTGCGAGTATTTTCGGAGGTGAGCAAGGCGGCGAGCCTTGCTTAATTAATAATTAGTACCTTCAAACCCAAGTGACAGTCTTGGACAGCGAACGACGGGAAAGGCAAGAAGTATTCTGGCTCTTTCAAACAATGGCCCGACCGCTACTTCGAAGCCAACGATAGACAGCTGGGCTCGATAGTCACGCAACTGCGAACCTCCCACGGGTAATGCATACGTGAGTGACTACCCAAGCTGTATTGTACACCGAGATCTGAGATCGACCCCCCACCCACTGTGCACTTGCCGTACGGGCAGCAGCCGACAGCAAAGGATTCGAGGCCCTCCAACGCTTCTTGAGACGAAACTGGTATTGTCACAAGAAAGGACGGTTGGAGACGAGAGCCTGGACTGATTGGTTGGGAAGGGTGGAAGAGGAACGCGAAGAACATGCGGAAAGGGAGGCTGGGGAAGTATAGAGGCAAACTCCGTGCATCGATGGCTTACTCAGGACTACATATTTCCTTACCAGACGGTGCTTCTGGGCATGGAGCAAACGTCCCTTACATAAACAAAAGGCAAGAGGTGCGGGGAGGAGAGAGTATTCTCTTCCTTTTTTTTTTTTTTTTTTTTTTGCTTGCTACATAGCCGGCAGGCTGCATGCCCATATGGATAAACAAATACCTAAATGAATAATAAGGCGAGATTTACATAAGTGAAACGACCGGGCAACGCTGACTTTACTGCGGCCTACGATAGTTGTTCAGGGCCGGCATTTAGAACCAAAAAAATGGAACTACAGCAAGTAGCTGAAACCTACTCGAAGAAGGAATCACTGAGCTCGATTGAGGTTCAAATCGCCAGATGGCGAGATCCCGCCCACCCGCATTTTTTGGTTCTACATGCCTGCCCCAAGCAATTGCCAGGCCTTTTTTTTGCTGTTCTTATCATATTTTATTCGGCCGCTTGCGGCCATGACATATAACGAGACGAGGATATGCTACCCCTTAGGCTGGGCCTACTACTGGGACGACCTGCGGCCCTTGTAAGGAAAATAATCAAGGAGATCGTACCTGGTATGTAGATGATCATGCCAAGGAGACTCGTGACCATAATCGCGCCCAGGAGAAAAAGAAACACACAAAAGGACAAGATTCCTTCACAACCTGACGCCCTTCTCGGGTCGACGTGCCGGTTTCAATCCAGAACCAAAACTCCTCAAGCCCACCATGTGAAATGTTGAAAGATCACGCTGTAACGGCAACCAGTTTACTTACTATTCTAACTCACTGTATTGTAACTAAAAAGCAAAAAGCAAAGAAGCAAAAAAAAAAAAGTTCCTCCTCCGGGTGGGCTTGAACCACCACTCAAACTCGAAAAGGGGTGTAAACAATGCAAGCTCAACAGACAGACGCGCTAGCCAATTGTGCCACGGGGAACATGGGGATAACTCAGAGTGTTGTTTTAAAAAGTTTATCTTGGGAGAAGGGGCAATAGGTATGAACCAGACCGAGAAGTACTTAGAGAGCAGAAAAAAAAATTAAATACCCACCAACGTAGCACAGCACAAACAAAAAAGAAACGACCCCACGCAGCTAATCCGCCTCCTCATCCGAAGACACCAGATCGATGATAGTGATCTTCTTCTTCTTCTGCTGCGGTTGTGGCTGTGAAGATCCCTCGGTGTCAGCGAGGGATCTCTTCTGTCCCACTGCTACCGGGGCGTCCGCTACTACGGGGGCGTCTGCCACTGGAAACTCTTCGAGCAATAGCGAGGCACCCTGTGCCTTCAGAACATCGGTATACCCCGTCCCATCCCTACGCAACGCATCCACAATCCTCTGTTCCCACGGTCCATCACCAAAGCATCCACTGCCAACAAGCAACTGTAAGCCATGTTCTATATAAGCACGGTTTTTTTCATAGTCCGCAAGCCGGTCTTTATACGACAACCCGTGCTTCGTGAGCGTCAGCGTGCCGATCATGCCCCTCGGCTGCACTTGCTCCATCTTCAGGTGGCGGCTGAGGCTGGGCTGCTGTTGCACCGCGTCCATCACGTGCACGCGGTTGGCAATCGAGAAATTCCAGGTACGCCGCAGCTCATGCGCCGAGAGGAGAAAGATTGAGATAGCGCCGCATTGCGAGCAGTGGGGTTTGCCGCACGAGAGCTGCGGGAGCTGGAGGCTATCCCTAGCGGGTGAGGCCGGCGGCAGCGTGCCGAGCTTGGGGAGGAAGTGTTTCATTGCCATGTACTGGAAGAAGTGAGAGAAGGCAGGGTGCGCCGAAAACTCGATTCCGTTGGTGTCGAAAAGAGCTTTGATATCCTTTAGGACAATGCTAAAGAATTTCAGAGAATCCTTTTCCGCTTCCTTTGGAAGCGCGGCGTCTTTGATGCTCCTTAGGACAAGTGCAGCGCTTTTAAGGCTCTTTTTGGACAAGGCGAAGGAGAGGAGGCGGGACGTGATGCTGCGAAGCCATGCGTCTCCAGGAGCTTCTGGAGGTGGGGCAGGGTAAGCATACGGCCGGCGGTCATCCCGTGGCGGGGCTTCAAAGCTGGCCTTGTGCACCTCAGCCACTTTTGGGAGGTATTCATTGATGATTTCGAGGTCATCTTCGAAGTGCCGTAAGACGGTCAACCAGTAACTCGACTGGCTGTAGCAACCCAGGTTCGGGATGAACCTGTGATCAGATATTAGCACTGGCTCCCGTCGTGTGAAAGGGTGAAAGGGCGTGTCATACACATCTCGCACCGTCTTCTTATCCATCTTCAACAATTCCTCCCAACTGAAGATAGCGCCAAGCTCCTTACCGGCGAAGTGCTTGGTAACAAGTCCTGCAACAACGTCCTGCCCAAAGATCTTGATCCCGACTTCTAGTTTTTTCCTGCTGTTTGGCTCGGACGCAATGCACATGTCGACGATTTGGCTCTTAGAATCTTCATTTTCAGTACTGGAAAACGTATCGACGGCCTCTCGCAGAAGAGCAAAATCTTGATCGCTTGTTGGCAACCCAAATTTCCGCAAGGTGGACGTAAAGAGGTCCAGGCGGCGCAACCGGCAGGAAAAATTGAGAAACAAACGCCGGCACTCAGTGATCATGGAGCTATCTTGACAAGCGGGGGGATGCGTATACTTGTGGCAAACGTCAGGGCTGAGGAGCAACTTTTCAGCGATTTCAATGCTCGCCTGGATGCTTTGACGTTCGCCCTCGGCTGAGGCTGTCTGATCGAGCAGATACGCAGATTGCGAGCCGAAAAGCTGAGTTACTGCATCGGCATTGCATTCGCGCGGCCACATTACCAGAGTAGAGCGAGTCCAAGTATTTGTCAGCCCGCCATCATCGTCATCATAGGATTGCTCGAAACCGGCATCCTCGTCACTACACCAAGATGGTTCATATGGAATGAATTGCTCCATATCGGGGTCGGAAATGTAGAGATGTTGGTTCTCATCTTTGAGCTGAACGTCGTGATAAACTTCGACTAAATAGGATGTATCGGGATCACCCCCCATGATGTAATTGCCATTTCCGTTCTTCTCAGGTTCACTGTCCTCTCCATGCCAGTACCTATCATACCTAGACGGGTAGTAGTCGTCCGGGTCCGCCCAGCCTTCCGCTGTTCCCTTTTCTTCACGTGTTATCTTTCCATAATACACGTTCAGCCCAACCTCCAGAGCCGCTTCTACCAGCTTGTCGCGTCGTGCAGCATCGGCTCCAGAGATGCAGTCGTAAGAACTATAGTCGCCATCAAAAATGAAGTATGCGACCTTCTCATCGTCGTCATGAGCAGCAGCAGTACGGGTTTGCGAAATGAACTCCTCCAGGCAATCTTTTATCCCTTTCATTGACGATATATCGTCCGGTAGGCTTAATTGCCATGGTTGGTAAAGCTTCGAGTGTTCCGCTGGGAGGTAGATTGTGTACAAGAGGCAGAGTGATGTACCGCGTGTTAACACAGTTGGCGCCAATCCATGATACCAGAGCGTGAAGGTCATATCTCCAACACCGTTTGCCGCAGCCTGTCCATGCATGCAGAGCGGCTCGTCTTGCATGTCGGGTTTCGTGACTGTGACATTGAAATCGTCGAATGTCGGCAGCGTGACAAGGAGTTTTGCGAAGTGTTTGACCGTATGCTTTTGGCCAAGCCTTCAATTGCATCAGGAAAATCTCTCTGAGTTGGAGAACAACTTACTCTTGTCCAAAACCAGAAGCTGCATGATCGCTCGAAACGACGAATCCAAACTCGAGTTGAGATTCGGTCTTGTCTAATTGGAACTTTTCTTTCACCATGGCCTGTATTTTCCTCGAAACCCACGGTAGCCATTCGGGGTTGCACGCCCGCAGGAATTCGTTCGAGATCACTTCCAGACCCATGTTCGGGTCAGGAATGATCTTACCGCTCAGCCGCAGCGCACTCAGCTGGGTATATTCCAGAGGCAGACTGAGGTATATCGGAGCACCAGGACCAACGACCACCAGCATTGGGTTTGGGTAATGCTTTGAGGAGCATGCAGCGGCTACTGTGCGTGGAGTGATAGATTCGAGGTAGCCGTAAAGGCGATCTGTCCAGGGCTCCTGTTCTGCTGGCTTCTGAGCTGCTACAGTTGAGGATGCCGACGACATTGCGGCGGGGGGGGGGGGGGGTCGTGCGGAATGGAGATGGCGGGCGCGGTTGTGGTTGTGGTTGTGGTGGACGCGATGGGGGTTGACGTCGACGTGACGCGTGAAGACTCGATTTTTTGGATTCTCCAGGAGACGAAGGAAAACAGCCAGCTAACCAAGCCTAAACAACTCATGTACGGAGCAAGCAAGCACAGGAGCAAACACCAGCAGTGCGAAGAAAACGGCTGGACCCTGCGTTTATTATTATCAACTTACTCTGGTGGCCGAGCGCCAAGTTTGCAGTTTTTTGTTGTGCGGGCCATCAGAAAATCCCGAACTTGGCGCTCGGCCACCAGCATATTGTAGATAGATAGAGCGTGGGCGGGTGCGGCAGCTGAATGGAGGACGTAGCAGAAAAAAAACAAAAAGACAACCACCCACAGCAAAAACAAAAGAAACGACTCCATGCAACTAATACTCCTCCTCCGAAATCTCCTCCTCCGAAATCTCCTCCTCCGAAGTCTCCTCATCCGAAGACACCAGATCGAGGATAGTGAGCTTGTTCTTCTTCTGCGGCGGTTCAAGTTGTGGCTGTGAAGATCCCTCGGTGTCAGCGAGGGATCTCTTCTGTCCCGCTGCTACCGGGGCGTCCGCTACTACGCGGGCGTCCGCTACTACGGGGGCGTCGGCCACTGGAAACTCTTCGAGCAATAGCGAGGCACCCTGTGCCTTCAGAACATCGGTATACCCCGTCCCATCCCTACGCAACGCATCCACAATCCTCTGTTCCCACGGTCCATCACCAAAGCATCCACTGCCAACAAGCAACTTTAAATTTAACCCTTTTTTTATCCAACCGCGCGTCTCGTGATAGTCCGCAAGCCGGTCTTTATACGACAACCCCTGTTTCGTGAGCGTCAGCACGACCTTGCCCTCCTGAGTCGGCTGCCCCCCCTCTATCTTCAAGTAGCGGCCCCGCACAGCGCGCCTCACGTGCCCGTAGTCAGGAGACGTGAGTTCCCAGGTACGCCGCTCTTCGTGCACCGAGGTGAGAAACATGGAGATGGCATCGCATTGCGAGCACTGGGTGTTGTCGCACGAGAGCGGCGGGAGCTGGAGGCTATCCCTAACGGTTGGGACCGGCGGCGTGCCGAGCTTAGGAAGGAAGTGTTTCATTGCCATGCATTGGAAGAAATGGGAAAAGGCGGGGTGTGCCGAAAACTCGATTTCGTTGGTGTCGAAAAGAGTTTTGATCTTCTTTAGGACACGGCCAAATAATTTTGGATGCAGTCCCTCTAGGGTTGCGGCGTCTTTGATGCTCCTTAGGACAAGTGCAGCGCTTTTAAGGCTCCTTGTGGATAAGGCGAAGGAGAGGAGGCCATATGTGGGGTGTAAAAGCCCTCCGTTTCTATCTATTGCTGAAATTGGGGCGCACCAGCGGTAAACTGGTCGCTGCCTTTGCGGGGCTCGAAACTTGGCCTTGTGCACCTCAGCCACTTTTGGAAGGTATTCATTGATGATTTCGAGGTCATCTTCGAAGAACCGTAAGACGGCCAACCAGCCCTTTGACTCGTTGTAGTTGCACCAGTTACCCGGGTTTGGGATGAACCTGTAATCAGATATTAGCACTGACTCCCTCCGTGTGAAAGGGTGAAAGGGGGTGTCATACTCATCTCGCAAGGTTTTCTTAGCAAGCCGCAACAATTCCTCCCTGCCAAGCACCCTACCGGTGAAGAGCTTGGAAAGGCACATGTCGACAAATTGGCTCTGAGAAGCTTCACTTTCAGTGTCACTTTCAGTGCTGGAAATATCGACGGCCTCTGCGACAGGTGGGGAT